AGGGCTAATAAACAAAATCAAGAAAGTGTCAAGACAAAAACAAAACAAGATTAAAAAACCCAACATATAAAAAGCATCATTTTAAAATACCAATAATGAACTTCTTGAAAAGAAATTAGGGAAGCATTCTCATTCACAAAAGTCAAAAACATATTTAGGAATAAACTTTACCAAGGAAGTGGAAGATGTGTAAAATGTAATCTATGAAACACCGATGAATGAGATTACAGAGGATATACCCCCCAAAAGCTGCAAAGATACTCCGTCCGTGAATCAAAAGAATCAAGATTGTTAAAATGTCCATACTATTCAAAGTGGTCTAAGAGTCAATATAACTCACATCAAAATACCAACGAGATTCTTCCTAGAATGAGGAAAACAACCTAAAATTCATAAAAAAATATGAAAGACCCAGACTAGCCAAAGCAATACTGATGGCGCAAAAAGCTAGAAGCACTCAGTACTTGGCATCAAAACATAAAGCAACAGTAACTAAGACAGCCTGGTACTGACATAAAATCAGACACACAGACCAATGGAATGCAATAAAAACTGAAGAATTAACTTACATTCATATAACTAGCTAGTTTTAAAAAATATTTGGGGGTGGGGTGCTGGAGAGATGGCTCAGTGACTAAGTACTGATTGCTCTTGCAGAGGACCCAGGTTTGGTTCTTAGCACTCACAAGGCAATTAATGGCCATCCTTAACTCTAGTTCCAGTGAATCTATGCCCTCTTCTGGCCTCTGTTGGCATTTCATCCATGGGTGCACTTACATGTAGGTAAAACATTCATACACATAAAATAATTTTTAAATTAAAAATATATTTTTATAGATTATTATACAGAATAATAGATTTAATCATAGCATCTTCATACATTGTACCATTATACTGAGTTCTCATTCATCCCCCACTGCTTTACCACATGCACCCCACCTCAGCTAGCTTCTTTTCTACCCTCAGTCCTGCCTTCTGCTGTCTCATTACATGTGTTAAAGACCCTGTTCCCCCTTTAAGATATCTTCTTCCTATCTCATGGTTTTCTTTCTGGTTTTATGTCACCCCTGTGTGTGTGTGTGTGTGTGTGTGTGTGTGTGTGTGTGTGTCACATAAGAGAGAAAATGTGATATTTATCACTCTGAGTCTGAGTTACTTCACCTAACAGAATGATTTCCACTTGTACCCATTTTCCTGCAAATGTTGTGCTTTTATTTTTCTTTACAGCAGCATAATGTTCATTTTGTATGTGTGTCACATGTTCTTTATGCATGGGCACACTTACATGTAGGCAAAACACTCATACACATAAAATAATTTTAATTAAAAATAAATTTTCACCTATTTATAGATATCTATGGTGGTTCAATTTCCTAGATATTATTAATAGTGTAGTAATAAATATGAATGAGCAAGTGTCTCTGTGATATGTTGACCTAGATTCCTTTGGGTATATACCCAAGAGTGGCTTCCCTGGGTGATATGGTAATTCCAATTTTAGGTATTGAAGAACCTTCATATTGATTTCCATAGTGGCCACAGCAGTTTACATTCTCACCGGCATCAGATAATTGCTCCTCGCTTCCACATCCTTGCCACCATTAATTGTCATTTGCTTTATCAATGATAGTTGTTCTGACAGGGGTAAGACGGAATCTCAAAAAAGTCTTAATTTGAATGCTTTGAACACTTCTTCAAATTCTTTTTGGCAGTTTGTATTTCTTTAGAAACTATATATTTAGTTGACCAATGCTTTATTAATTGGAAAATTTGGGGATTTTTTTGCCATTTAAATTTTTCATTTCTTTATATTATATCCTGGATACTAATTCCCTGCCTGATAGGTAGTTGGAAAAGAAAAGATTTCCTCCATTCTGCATGCCGTCTCTTCGCTCTGCTGATTGATTACTTTGCTGTGCAGCAGCGTCTTCATTTCCTTCAATCCCACTTGTCAATTATTGGATTGTTTCCTGTGCTGTTGGAGTCCTGTTCTCAAGTCCTTGTCTATGCCTATATCTTTTCTTGCATTTTTCATTGATTAAATTTATTCTTTGACAATTTCCCACTTGTAACAATGCACACTGACCACTTTCACCCTGTCCTCTCCCATTTCCCTCCCACCCTATCTACCTGCCTTTTTCACTACAGAACTCTCTCTCATTCATGTCTATTCATTTTGTTTCTGCCTGTAATGAAGCATTTTCTTCTAGGACTTTCAAAGTTTCAGGTCTTACATGAATGTCTACGATCCATTTTGAACTTTTTTTGTGCAGTGAGAATATGGATCTAGTTTCACTCTTCTATATATGGTAATCTAGTTTTCCTAGATGTTTGTTAAAAAACATTTTTTTCCTCCAATGTACGTCTTTTATGCCTTTGTCAAAAATTAGGTCGCTGTAACACTATAGGTTTATTTCTGAGTCTATATTATTCTATTAGTTTACATGTCTGTTTCTTTTAAATTTCTCTCTCTGTGTTTATGTACAAAGGTGTGTGTGTGTGTGTGTGTGTGTGTGTGTGTGTGTCTGTGTATGTGTATGTGTACACATGTATGTGTGAAGGGTGCCCACAGAGATCAGAAATGGGAGTTAGATACTTTGGGGCTAGAGTTACATGTGTTTGTGAGCAACCCAATGTGGGTGCTGGGATAGGAACTCCAGTGTTCTGATGAAACAGTAAATGCTCTCAATCACTGAGCCATCTTTCCAGCCCCTACATGTCTTTTTGTGAAAGTACCATTCTGTTTTTGCTACTATGGCTCTTCTATATAATTTAAGATTATTATGATAACTCAGTATTGCTCTTTCTGCTAAGATTTCCTTATCCACCCAGCATCTTTTGTGCTTCCATTTGATTGTAGAATTGCACTTTCTAATTATATGAAGATTGTTATTAGAATGTTGATGGACTTTACATTGAATCTGTAGATAGCTTTTGGTAACATCCATTTTCACATTATTAATTCTTCCAATCCATGAGCACGAGAGGGATTTCCATCTTGTACTGTCCTCTTTAATTTCTTCTTTAATGTCTTTCTTCAATGTCTTAAAGATTTCATTGTTGAGGTCTTTCACCTCCTTGGTTAGGTTTATTCCTAGTTGTTTAGTATTTTATTCTTCCTAACTATTGTAAATGAGATTTTTGCCCTCTAATTTCTTTCTTGGTGCATTTTTTGTGGGTATTGTGATGGTTAGTTTTATTGCTAAATTGTCACAACTTGCAATCACCTAGAAAGAGAGTTTCAATAAAGGCATATCTAGATCAGGTGACCTATGAGCATGCCTGTGGAGGGCTGTCTTGTCTTAATTGATGTGGGAAGACCCAGCCTGAATGTAGGCAGCACCATTTCCTGATTTGGAGACCTGCACTCTAGCAAAAACTAGCTTACTGCTAAGCATGTACCATTATCTCTCTCTGCTCCTGATTGTAGATGGGATGTGACTAGCTGCTTCAGGTTCCGGCCACCTTGACTTCCCCACAATGATGGGGGTAACCTGGAATTGTGAGCTGAAACAAACTGTCTCCCCTTTAGTTGCTTTTTGTTGGGGTGTTTTATCACAGCAGCAGAAATGAAACCAGGAAAGGCATATATAACAGCTACAGATCTTTCTGTGTTGATTTTGTATGTACTATTTTGCTGAAACCATCTCTCAGCTCTAAGAAGTTCTGGTGGAATCTTTAGAGTCGTTTAAGTACAGGATCATGTCAGATGCAAACAGAGATCATTTGACTTCTTCCTTTACTATTTTTCCTTTTCCTTTTTCTTGTTTTATTGCTCCAGCTAAGACTTCGTTCGCATCATATTCTCTGAGTAAGGAGAGAGAGTGGGTACCCTTGTCTCATTACAGATTTTAGACAAAATGATCTGCATTTTTGTTACTTGGTGTAATGTTGGATATAGGTTTGTCATATATAGACACTATTATAATGAGGTATGGTCCTTCTCTTCCAAGTTTCTTCAGGGCTTTTATCATGAAGGAATATTGAACTTTGTCAAAGGCCTTTTTTTTTTGCATCAAATGAGATGACCATAATTTCTGTACTTATGTCTATGTGCTAAATTATACTTACTGATTTGTAGATGTTGAACCAGTTTGTGTCCCTGAATGAAATCAACTTGGTCGTGGTATATGATCTTCTTGATGTGTTCCTGTGTTTGGTTTCAAAGAATTTTATTGACAGTTTTGTAACTATGTTCACTAGGGGAATTGGTCTATTGTTTCTGTATTGTATCCTTACCCTATCTTGATATCAGGACAATGACCTCACAGAATGAGCTGGTTCCTTCCTTTTTTCCTTAAGGAGCAGTGAGGAGCATTGCTGTTAGCTGTCCTCAGAATGATTGGTGGAATCTGGCAGTGAATCTACATGGTCCTGGGCCTGTCTTTGCTGGCAGACATTCTACTACTGCTCCAGTTTCAGATGTTTTTCTGAGTTCATTTTGAAATTAGGTCTCAATACCTCATAACCCTAGATAGCCTGGAACTCTCTGTGTAGACCAGGCTGGCCTCAAACTCAGAGATCTGTTTCCCAAGTGCTGGGATTAAAGGTGTGTGCCAGCACACCCAGCTTGGTTGTTGTAGATTTTTTTAAGTTGTTCACATCTTCTTGATTTAATTTTGATAGGCCATGTGTTTCCAGGAATGTACCTATTTCTTGTGATACGTACTTTTTCAAAATACTCCCTGAGTCTCTGAATTTCAGTAGAATCTATAGTAATATCTACTTTTTCATTTTCAATTTTACTAATTTTGGTCTTTGTTCTCGTTCATTTGGTTAGTTTGGCTAGGGGTTTTTCAATTTTGCTTATTTCTTCAAAGAAACAACTCTTTACTTGACAGATTCTATTTATTATTCTTTTTTCCTCCATTTCATTAATGTCTTCTCCAATTATAATTTCTTTCTCCTGCTTTGGGGTTTGAAATGGTCTTTTTTTTTTCCTTTCTTTCTAAAACCTTGAGGTCCATTGTGAGGCTATTTATTTGAGATCTTTCTGACTTAAGAAATATGAATGTTTCACAAATGTGTATGATATCCTGGCATAGGAGCTGTGCTAATTTTCTCTGTCTCATTCCAGATTTAGTACAGGTGATGTTGAATTGAGCACTCCTGATTTTTAATGCAAGCACTTGCACCTTAAGATTGCCTTAGCTACATCACAAAAGTTCTGACAAGGTACGATTTAATTTTCTTTTGATTCTAGGAACTCTTTAATTTACCCCCTGATTTCGTCAATGAATAACTGGTCATTCAAAAGTGTATTGCTCATTCTCCATGGGATGCTGAGAAGAATGCATTCTGTTTCTGTAGGATGATATGATCTGTAATTATTTGCTAAGTTCCTTTGATACATAGTTAGGCTAATTTTAAGGTTTCTTTGTTGATTTTTAGTTTTGATAATTTACCTAAAGATGATAGCGGTGTATTGAAATCACACACTATTATTGTATAAGGATCTACCTGAAGTTTTATAAATTGGGAGCCTCAACACTTGATGCACATATATTTACAACTGTTTTATCTTTCTATGAAATGTTCCATTTATTACAATATAATGGCCTGTTTTATCACATCTAATTTTAGTTTGAGTCTTATTTATCAGATGTCAGACTATCTATACCAGTTTGGTTTTTCACCCCTTGACTCTCAGTTTATAAGAGTCTTTACCAGTGAGGAGTGTTTCTTTGAAACAACAGATAGTTAGATCTAATTTTTAATTTAGTCTGCAGCTCTTTATTGATGAATTAATGCCACTTCCATTTAAGATTATTACTGAGAGATGTTTATTCATTACTATAATGTTTTGATTTATTATTCTGGTTGAATGGATTATGCTTATTCTTTTACTTTCTCCCCTATTTATATCAGGGGTTTGCTGGTTAATTGCACTGTGTGTGATAGATTCTCTCCTAGCTGAGTTCATTCAGCTACTCCTCTCATGAAATTTTTTCTTTCCTACATTTTCATGGTTGTGACTCTTTCTTCTTCCTTTAACTGTCTTCTGTAGTACTGGCCTGTCAGTCATGAACTATATTAGTTTGTACTTGTCTTGAAACTTCCTTATATCTTTGGCAATTTTAGAAGATTGCTAGATAGAACAATTTTGGTCGGCAGTTATTTACTTTTAGTGCTTGGAAATGTGTTATTCTCTGCTTCCTGAGTTTTTTACTAAGAGATCAGATGTTTCTCTGATGCTTCTATATTTGTAAGTAAGTTGGCATTTCCCCTAACAGCTTTGAATATTGTTGCTTTGTTTTGTACTTGTGAAATCTCTCTCTATATGTATGGAGGGTCTTACCTAGTCATGTCTACCCGGTATTCTAAGTGCCTGTTTGGCTATCTACTTCTTTTTCTAGGTCTGGGTAACTTTCTATAGTAATTTCATTGAGTAGATTCGTTATGCCTCTAACTTTAATCCCAGCTCATCCTCTATCCTGGAGATTTTAGATTTGGATTCTTGGTCATGTACCAGAGTTCTTGGACCCTGCTATCATGCACACTTGCTTCCTCTTCCTTACTGCTGTTTGAATGTGGTGTTTTGTCCTCACCGTTCGCCTCTGCAAGTCTTTCTTCTGCTTGATCAAATCTGTGGGTGATGCTTTCCATTGGATTTTGTGGATTACTGTTGGACCCATTTTTTGTTTCTCAAAAAAACAGTGTTTCTCAAAAATCTCAATTTCTTTGCCAACTCTTCCATCCATGTTGCTATTTTTCCTCATCCATTCTGTTAACTTTCCCTCTTTCACTCACTTTCCCTTCTAGTTCCTGATTGAATCGACCTGCTTATTTTTGTGCTCCAATTGATTGTTTTTTAAAAATATTTTATTTTTTAGTTTATGTGTATGCCTGCATGAAGGTAAGTGCACCCGTGTCATGCAGTGCCCACGGAGGACAGAAGAGGCTGTCGGATCCCCTGGGACTGGAGTTAGGAATGGTTGTTAGCTGCCATGTGGGTGCTGGGATTTGAAGCTGGGTCTTCTGCAAGAATAACTAGTGTTCTTAACCACTGAGCCATCTCTCCAGCCCCCCAATTGATTGTTTTTATCAGAAAAGTTTTGAAATCATCATTGGCATTTTACCTATTATGGTAGTTTTAGTTCAGTAGTTGAAAAGCTATGATCTTTTGCATCTTTGTTATTTTCATTTTTCATGTTTTTTACATTTCTGTGTTGTGATTTGCACATCTGTGTTTGCATATCTCCTCTGGGGTTTTTGGGGGTGGGGGAAGTTCTCACTGAGCTGTGTCCTCTTGGAGTCTCAATCCCCAATACCATAATACTAAGGAGAAGACAAACTGCAGTGACAGAAGCATCAAAGCACACAAGATCTAGAATAACACAATCAATTACAACTGCTAACACATCATCTATGACTATAAAACTGAAATGGCAAAATTACTGTAGAATAGTCTGTGGGGTTAAAATTATTTAGAGCAAGTGAGGAAACAGATTGAGATAAAGAGACAAGGAGAGGGAGACGTGGAGGAGCAACTTTGAATCGACAAAGGAAAAAAGAAGCGGTGGGGGTGGGTGGAGAAGAGTATCCTGGAGCAGACAGCAAGGGTTTAGAAAAAATTAGAAAGAACAAAAAAAGAAAAGCAAACCAAAAAGACTTCCTGATAATGAAAAAGCTCAAAAGCAAAATTAGGTAAATTTAACCAGGGGAATTAGAAAATAAAAACATGACTGTTTAAGAAAAACTAATTAAGCCAATTCTTTACTTTCTCCCCATCCATACCAGGGGTTTGTAGGTTAATTGCATTGTAGTAAGAATACTACTACATGTAGAGAGAGGAGAAAAGGAGCAAAGTGTAGCACACACACACACACACACACACACACACACACACACACAAAAATGTAGAGAAGCACACAGAAGAAAATCTACTGTGATGAAGCAGAAGATTCTGATAAGCCTGGCATGGCGGCACACACCTTTAGTCCCAGCACTCTGGAGGTAGAAGCAGGTGGATTTCTGTGAGTTTAAGGCCAGCCTGGTGTGCTTAGTGAGACCTTGTCTCCAAACAAAAAACATCCTACTAAATGTGTAGGAGGAAAAGAATCACAAGGAAAAGAAGGAAAAGTGAGGTGCTGGCTAGGCGTGCTCCATTTAGATTTATCACCCTAAACCACAAGAACAAAACACACGTGGGAATTTCAGAAAAATGAACTGTTGGGGCTATTAGCAAAGAATACCATTTAAAATAGATGACATAAAAAACTATTAAATACATTAAAATCTTGTGCAAAAATGAGATATTAGAATAGGTTCTTTCAGGGTCCTTAAAAATTGGAGACTTTTCCTATGGTCTGTGCTATTACAGTGTGCTGATGAGAATCTGTCTTCATCATGGTATTCCTTGTTTGAGTACCGGGGTCCTCTGTTAGACACTCTTAGCTCTGTTCTTTGGACTGCACAGATTCCACCGCCTTCCAGAGACTTCCCAGACTACACCCTGTGGGGTGGCTGACTATTTAGTTGAAGGGAAAGGTTGTCTCCCAAATGTGCTGGGAGTGTGGGCAGCAATCATGGCACAGCACAGTGGACCTGACTTTGTCACCTTACTGGAAGGATGCTGCTGGGAGTATCAGGTACACCCTTGGAACTTCAGAGTTCTCAGGCTCTATGGCAATGAAGGACAGATAGTTGGTTTACAGAATTTTATCTACCCATTGGCCTCAGGCTCAGAGCTATCACAGTCCAGGCCGTTCTTAGTTGATCTGCTACCAGCCACCAGCTGTAGAGGGCAGGGCTCTCTCTGCTGTACTTCCTGCCTGAGCCCAGCTTCTTGTTACCTGCACCCCTGGGCCTCGATTTTCACTTTTCACAGACTCTCCACAACTCCCTTTCCAGCCCCTCCATCACCCAGAAGATGTGGCAGGCCCAATTGAGGCTGCAGGATCTGTGGTTGTTCCTAGGTCTCAGGTCCCCAGGATAGCTGGGGGGTTTTGTTTTGTTTTGTTTGGTTTGGTTTTGTTTGGTTTTGGTTTGGTTTGGTTTTTTTGAGACAAACCCTGTAGCCCCAGCTGGCCTGGAACTCACTATGTAGACCAGGCTGGCCTTGAACTCACAGACATCTGCCTGCCTCTGCCTCCTGAGCACTGGGATTAGAGGAGAGTCTCTCTTAAAATGACTCGCTGCCCTCCCAGTCACACAGCAGGACAAAATGGAATTTCTCTCTGCCCCTGAGCCATCTGCTGGAGGAAGCACTGTCTCACCAGAACCCACAACTGTATTTGAGGCTTGGGGTGTGTGTGGGGCTGTTATTTATTAACCCCAAATAAACCAAATAATCCAATTTTAAAATGGATTAAAGAACTAAACAGACTCTTCTCAAAAGAAGACTTGCTGGAGTCTGGAGAGACTGCCCAGAGGTTAAGAGAACTTGCTGCTCTTGCAGAGGACCTAGGTTTGGTTCCCAGCACCCATACTGGGCAGCTCAGAACCTTCTATAACTCTAGTTCTAGGGGCTCTGACAGCTTTTTCTGGCTTCTGTGGCACCAGGCATGCATGTGACACCCACGTATACATGCAGGCACTCACATATACACATAAAATAAAATTAAAAAACCTTAAAAAAAAAAAAGCAAGACGTGTAAATGGCAACACATATGTGATAACATGCTCCAGCTCACTAACCATCAGATGAATGCATGGAGCCATAATGAGATGTCATCTCACCTCCCAATTGCTGTCTCCAACAAGACAGAAATAACAGATAACACTGAAGATCAAAGAAATGGGAGTTCTTACACACACTGGTGGGAACGTAAATGAATGAAATCTCTATGGAGATCAGTGCAGAGGTTGCTCAAAAAGCCACAAGTGGAAGTGCCTCATGAGCCACCATTCCACTAATTCCAAAGGAGACGGAATAATACTCCCAAACAATTCCCGCATTCCCACAGTCACTGCAGTATGGGTCACAGCAGCCAGAAGCCCCTCAGAAGGTGAAGACACAAAGAAAACGAGGTATATTTATTATCTTATCCAGCCATAAAAACATAACAAAATCCTGTCATGTTACAACATGGATAGAACTGGATGTCATGTGAAGTAAGTCAGACATGGAAAGACAAATACTGCATGTTCTCCCTCATTAGTGGG